GAAAGAGTTCTTATTTTGCATATGTTCTTTTTATTTCCCAGCTCAGTGTCTTTGGGGTTATCATAATGTCTCTGAAAGTGTATGAACTGCAGTTCCCTTTGTACTGTTCACCATTATCCTGTCATCTTTGCATGAGACTGGCATCTGAATCTGCTGGCCTTTGGCTTTTGCTTCCCTGGACCAGATCCTCTTTCTATCAGTGTATTCTCCTTCCAGCATGTACTTACGCAGTGGTTTCCTCACCATCTTGCTTGGTTTTGGCTTTGATTCTCTGCATTCCTTCACATTTCCACTACAATGGCTCCTTTTTTGTGAAACTCATTTCCTTATATTTAAAAATCCCAATTGGTTTTCTATTCCCAATTGCTTCTGCAACTCCTTTTCCCAGTTCTCTATGTGCTAAAGAGCTGAAGGGTCTTGATTGCCTTCCTTGGCCTCCAAGAATACCTCCTCTTCACTACTTTTGCTTGTTTCTTCAAATAGTGGTGCTCTCCATCCCACAGAACATTGTCAGGCTGCTCAGCCCAGCCCAGCACTGCTTTTCCTGTTAAGCAGCTACAGCCACGTTCGGGCAACAGGATCATGATAGATACCCCCATGTGCCTCGTGCCTTCATAAGCACCATGGGAGACCTCAGTGCAGTCACCCTCTCCCCATTTCAGTCCTTCTGTCTTTGGACCACACTGATATTCCCTAGGGGACAGAGTTGCACTCAGCTTCTCCCATGGTCCAAGAAAAAAGAGAGTGAGTCAGCCCATCTCTCTCTCCCTCTTCGTCTCTCTGCTGGCAGATCTGGGGTGTTCCTAGCTCACACATACCACTAACATGTGTTGAACGTGTGCCAGTGATAAATCTCTCATACCATGGCTTCGCATAACCCAAACACATGGAGCGGCGTGTTCCTTCCGAGGTACTTCCTCAGAAGCTTTGTAGCTGAGTGTACAGAGCTTAGGCTCATTAAGGAATTTGGTTTATAATTGGATTTAGCCAATGATACAGAGGAGTGAAATTACTGTGATGGGATTATTCTTTCTTCTCTCTGTCCACAACATTTGCTTGGTATGCAGAAAACTTGTCATCAAAAGTATCTTCCACTGAGTCTTGATTTCCAGTTACCAAGCCTGCAGCATCTTTCACTGCACTTTTTCTGTTTGCTCTGCCATAGTGTGCTGCCCTTTTGTACTAGTGGAAGTCAGTGGAGAATCTGCTTTCAGATCTGTCAGAGGAGTAGAGAAACATTGCTGCAAATAAATCTTACGATTTTTGCAAAGTAAAATGAAAATGTTTGAGTTACAAGCCCTTTTCACTCTGCTGTTATTTTTGCCTAACCATCCTGAACAGTAGAGCAGTGCTGTTGGAGCTCTGCCGATGATGGGACGTTGTTTTCTTAAAAAAAATCCACACATTTCTATGAAGCGATTCTCCGCAGAACTCACTCCTGACTGAAATCCATCATTGCAATAATGGAAAGTGCCTTGAGAGCTTAGCGCTTCCTGCCCTGCATGTGGCTGAAGCACAGGAAAACATAGGGTTCTTGCCATACAAAATGGGTTTTGGTTTCTGTCCAGAGCAGCATTGCTGGGAAGTCTGACATCAGAGCACAAGTTGGCATGGTGGTGGGGAAATGCCTCCTTAATTTTCCAGTGCGGCACTTAGCCAGAAAACTTTCTTGTTATTCCTTTCATAGTTATCTTAAAGACTTGGGTTTTTTTTTTTTCTCCTATTGCAGAATTTCCTACAATGAAGCAGTGGAAATTTTGAAGCGAGCTTCTCAAACTTTCACTTTCAAGCCAGAGGTAGGTCATTGCCTGGTGGGTTGTCCCTGTGCCTGTTCATGCACACAGCCACCCTGAACTTTGTAAATCTCATTTATTTCTCTCTTTCTGATACTACAAGAGTTGTTACTTCACACAGGTTATCTGCCTCCTGGGGTGTTTGCTCAGTCGTAACCCAGGTATTAGTTTTGCCCTTTGGGATTGAAATGGGAGCAATATAAGGAGTGAGATCTGTAGCAGAAGAACACATAACATTTGCAGGGAAGGAAGTGATGAGTTTGCTGTTGAAGGACCAAGGCTTTGGCAAAAACCCTTCTCTTTCCTGCACGCAAGTACTGCTGAGTGTGCTGTGGATGCGGTAGCAGTCATCTAAGGAGAGCTGCTGCAATAGTCTTCAAATAAAGGAATGATATTAGGATAGCATCAAAAGTTTGGCAAGGACCAATAAGCCAAAACCATGTCAAAATACCAGGTAATCTAGATGTAAGTAAAGGGAATCCCTTGTCTTTCCAAAGCATAGATGTTGCCTGGGAAAGAGAATCACATGCTTGTCTTTCTTACACTTTTAAACACACACACCAGCAGGGAGAGCACTGGTGGTGCTCATCTCATGTGTACACTGATTAATCTTTCTCTCGTTTTAATGCTTTGAGGAAAATAACCCCTCTGGCTGAAGCCACCTTCATGGCCGGTTTGGTAACTGTCTCATCTCTGCGTACAAGTGGGTGTAGAACCTCAGATCCTGTACCTGTACCACCTTGATCTGAGACAGCGAAATGAGGATGTTTTCAGGAGAGGAACGTCTGCAGAACATCTATTCCCCTCTATCCGTTCCACTCCCCCAATATTCTTTGCACGTCCTATAGTGGGCTGGAAGTCTCTAGTCAAAAGCCACAGAATTTATAACATCACTGGAAGAAAGGACAAGTAAAGGGGATTGCAAATGTCCAAGGTTTCCGATAACAAAGAATCGGTTGATAGGATGCTTGGTTTTCTTAAGTGAGAATTAATGTAGCATGTAACAGGACACAGCAGGGAAGAGAACAGTCAGCCCAGCAATGCTGGTTTCTGTATACCAACCATAATACTGAAATAAGGCTGATTTGCTGACTTGAGTAAGCTGATTTTGGATAGGTGCCTATTTCCCTTAAGCTATGTAGAATGTGGGTTTTCGGTTGTTTGTTTGTGTTTTTTCTGATTCAATGCCAGATGCTTGGGCTTGATGCAGGGATGATCTGGCCCTGTTCTGTGGAAGTTAAACTGTGTTATTTTCATCACTTTTCTCTTCCTTAAAACTTATGAAACTGTCTCCTTAGCAAATTTTCTCTATGGGCTGTGGGAGAAGTTGCTGTGCTTGGTTTTGTGTTGTTCAAAGCTGCACATCTCTCCTACACAGAGATTTTGCGGTGTCTCTTGCCACAGGCAAGGTGCACCAAAGCAGGATCCCAGGTCCCTTTTGCTGTCTTTACAGTGGGGCTCTGACCTCCAAACGGAACATGAAAAGTACCTGGTGAAGCACTGTGGTGAGGTTCCTGTGTTTGTGATTAACTACCCATATGACCTCAAACCTTTCTACATGCGGGACAATGAAGATGAACCACAGCACACAGTGAGTCCATGGGTCACTCTTCCACTGTTTTTTTGGCTAGGCATGTGTCCTAGCCTACCGATAGGTAGACAGATGAGGATAGTCTTCTGCTGGGCTTTGTCTCAGGAAGTCCAAGATGAGACATGACCATCAGGTGATCCTGTCCAGTTTTTTTCCTGTTGTAGAAGGAATCCCCAAGGCAGGAAAAACAGGAGGAGGAAGACTCAGGAGTTGGAGATTGTTAAGTTTTGATTGAAGGCCCTTAAGACAAGTTTGCCATAGTTTCTTTCTTTTCCTGGTAAACTTCTGTATTACTGGGTGAAATGCCTAGAATTGCATGGCTCCAAGCAGGCCGTGATTCTCTGTCATCCAAAGGTAATCCTCAAATCCATGTAATCCTCAAATAACAGATGGACAGAAGTAAGCTCTTTTTCTACAAGTCTCATGCTTTGAAGGTGTGATTTCCCAATTGAACTGAGACAACCTGAGGCATTGCTTCTGCTAAAAAAGCAACTACTCACTGTGTACCACTGTCACTTCAGTGGTTTTAATTCTAGCAACAGTTCAGCTGTGAGATATGAGTAGTAACCCTAGAAAACAAAACAGAGAAGACAGTCAGCTGAAACCCAACAGCATGGGTGATAACAGTGGGATTCTAACACTTGGATCCAGCATGTAAGTGCCAGTGATCCATTGGTGTCATTACCACCAGAGCTGGATCAAGGAATGGGGGCAGATAGAGGGCAACCACAAGTTACAGCATCAGAGCAGCTTAAACTTGAAGGGAAACGGGGCTTCAGGAAACTTGCCCATGTGTCTTTATTTCCTGCACAGGCTTGTCTGCGTGCACAGGTTGTCACCAGAGTAACCTGGTAGGATTCAGTTCACACCACCTGCTGTAGATGTCCTCAGTCTAGAACATCACTGCACTTGTTTAAGTTTTCTGTGGGTTTACTAATGTTTATCATTGTAAAGTTCCCTCACAGCCTTCTCCTGTCGACAAGAGACTTTTCAAGCACGTGCAAATACTTACCTAAGTGTCCTGTGCATGGGAGAATTACAGTAGCTTTTCACAACCAACCAGCAGTGTCAACTATACTTCTGTATGGCTATATGGCATGACTTAAATTAGTTTTCTTTCTTTTAAGGTTGCAGCTGTTGATCTCCTTGTACCAGGAATAGGGGAGTTGTGTGGAGGCAGCTTGAGAGAGGAGCGACTGCCCTTCCTCGAGTCACGCTTACAGAGGTATGGGAAACCCACAGGTGCCAGACCAGCCTGACCAAGAGGGGTTTCAGCAGCCTCAGTGGTTGGCAAGATTGAGGAGTGGAAGGGCAATTAACGCTATTTAAAAGAAGCCTATTTTTGTCTTTGAGCTATTTATCTGAGTAAGTGATTACAAACCGGTGAAGAAGTTCTTACACTGCTGTTGTAGATATGCAAACTGTCTCTCTGTTTTAGCTCATCACAGAAGAGGAGTTTATTTGATGCTAGGAGACCAGGGGAGCAGAATGCCTCAGTTCTGCTGGGACTATCCAGGTCTGGTGTGAGGCACTTCGTCCTCAGTCCTTTTCTTCACAGCTTCTGTGGCCAAGAGTGGATTGCGAAGGTGGAAGTTGTCACGTAGACAGAGCTTAGATGTATTTGTCATCACATTGTGTAACTGAGGAATGGCAGTTTTGGTCGGAAGCTTTGCTAGCTGTGATGAAGCTGGCCTCGGTGGCATCATTTAAGAGAATACAGTTCTTTGCTAGCACTTTGGTGGGAAGCTTCGTTGGAAGTCCCTGGGACCCTTACAGAGGCATATGGGCTCTTTCCCTGCTGCTTTGTTCTGGTTTGTGTGGCTTTGCGTAATTTTAGGCCAAATTCATTGTCAGAATATCAAAGCTGCTGTTTAGTTAACAATAACTGGCATTATAGATGGGGTGATTCTCCATAGACAATTACTCCCTGGATCCTGTCTGATTGTTCAAAAGAACCTTTCATAACTCATGTACGTCTGTTTTTGCCATTTGTACACTTGTGCAGAGCAATTTTGGAGGAGGATTAATCCCAGCATAACACCATTTGCACATTGGGAATGAATTTGTTGCTTAAATCAGCTACGTGCTCACAGAGATACATCTAATCAGTGGAGAAGAGCAAAATCCATTTCAGCGTAATGAATCCAAAAGGCAATTAAAATCACCAGAACATTGGTTCTCAATTTGTGGTGTAGGATGATATTATTCCCCATGCTTCCTGTTGCTCTCCCTGCAAACTCTCCCAGAGCAGGCATGCTTCAGCTGAAGCAAAGTACAATGTTCCCTGCTGCACATTTTCACTTGAAATTTTTGCTAGTGAGAGCTGGAGTCCACAGCCCTCGAGGTGTGGGGCTGCAGGAGTGGTCCTTGTGGAGGTTGAAGCCAGAATTTCCCCTTAGTCAGGAAAGTCATAGGAAATACGTCAAGCTACAAATGGGGTGTGTCTTCAGTGACCCTAAAGTACAGCTCCACACTGAAAATTACCTGGAAAAACACCTCTTTTCACATGTTTTTTCTTAATTTTGAGTACTCAGGATTTGATGTGCTGAGCCCAAATACTTTGTTAAGGCTTTTAAATTCTACTTCCTGCAGACCCAGCATAGCTAAGAGAGATAAAGAATGGGATTCTTGTCTCCTCGTACACACTTCATACAATAGCTCCCCGAGTCCCAGTCAGGGACAGCTGCAATGCACGGAAGATGAGAGAAGTGGGCTTTCTTTGCCTACAGTTTTCTGTTTGTGTTCAGAGAAATGGGGGAAAAAACCCAACAATTTCACTCTGACTCCGCCAGGGCAGGAAAAGGGGAGAGGGTGCACTGGTGGCAGTTAGAAAAAGACTTAATTTATTTAGTAGTTTTACAGAAGTTGGCACACATTAATAAAGGCATGGGTGTTTGGTGGTTTTATTCAGTACGGGAGGGGAGCCACATAGCCACACGTGAAGAGATTTTGACTCTCATAAATGAGATTGGCTACATGTCATTGTAAGTTTAATATTCAGGCCTGTACGCTCCAAACATTCACAAGTAGTTTACTGATATGCTTCAAGTTAAGAATATACACAAGTCTTTGCATGAAGCTGGGATCAACCCTGTACATTGGCAAAACAAACTTTACATTTTAAGAAGCTTGCTGATAATCTGTTCAAGATTGTCCACCGATTACCAGAACTGACAGCCACTAATAGTGTCTGCCCTTAATTTCCCACCTTTCCTTTTTAAACTGAGTTTGAACTCCCTTTTCTTGTAGCATTCTTTTCCAGGCAAGTGCTGCTTGTGTGGATCCCCTCTGTTCCTTTACTTACAAGGGCTTTTCTTTTTGTTCCACAGATTAGAACTCGCAGATGCCTACCAATGGTAAGACTCTATCTTGGTCTGCAAGCTGTATTTCTTCTTTTGAGACTCTAAACAACTGTTTCATTTTTTTTGATCCTGTTCTTGAGGGGATGTCTCTTGACCCACTTGCCCTGCCATCGCTACCAGTCTAAATGGAACAGCCAGTTCATTTAAACACAGTTTAATCTAATGCTACTTAGTTTATCTTCCCAATTTGTCCACTCACAGCACAGGTCATTCCTTTCAGGACTGCGTGAAAGTCGATAAATTTACAACCCATCAATGATTTTTTATATTATATCATTAAACTGTGTTCCATGTTGAATAGATTCTGACTGCCATTGCATGAGATAAACAGGTTACAGAACCACAAGCAATTTGTGACCTTTAACAGCTCTATGAGTAACTCCCTTTGCAATTGACAGGGCAAATGGGTCGAAAAATCTTCCCTAGCAAAGCGGTTGAAGCAATTAAAACTGTCCTGCTAAGGAGACAGAACAACCTTTGAATTAATGGTTTAGCCTATTAAAACGACAGAAGGATCCTAGTGTTCCTCTCAACAAGTGTTTCTTGGTATGTACTTTGTCACAGCTACTTAGAGGTGATAGTGTGGAGAATTTTAAATGTAGAAGAGTAGATTCAAATACTCTGCAGAATTTGAAATAAACATTAGGGAGGGTACCTTGAAAAAAAGCAGTGTCTGTGTAGGATTCTTCACTCTCCTTTTCCCACAATATGAAATCACTTAGGAACAGCTCAGTGCATGGCAGATCTTTACATCCATTTGCAAACAGGGTGAACGAAACTTCTTCCTTTATTGTTTGCGTTTATGGGCCAGAATACACCGTATCACTTCATCTGAGGGAAAGACTAAGGATTATCCTCACAGAATCACAGAATGTATTGGGTTGGAAGGGACCTTTAAAGCTCATCCAGTCCAACCCCTCTGCAGTGAGCAGGGACAATGTTACCAGATCAGGTTGCTCAGAGCCCCATCAAGCCTGACCTTGAATAATGACCTTGATCCTGACTAAGGATGATCAGTTGTGTGGTTAGATGCTGAGATGCAGCCTGAAGAAGTCTGGTGTTCAGTGGCAGAGCCTTCCAGCACTACTAAGATAGCTCAGCCCTGCCTGATGCTTCCCTCAAGAGAGAAGATTAAGACATTACCCCTCACCTATTTGCATTTTCACGTCATATGTAGCAACTGCAGTCTGGAAATTTTTTCCTCCTATGCTCTCACTTTGGAGACTCTGTCCTCCTCTATTCCCTCCACTCCATCACAGGTGATGTAAGTTCCCAGAGAAGGTTAAAACTGCAGGGTCTGGTGCAGGAAAGAAGTTATCCTGGATGCTTCTGGACTACAGTCCAGAATCTGCCAGAAAACAGGTAGGTGGTTTGCCAGCATTCATCTTTTCAGTGCAGGTGGGAGGAGAGACTGAAATTAATCTCCTCCAATTTAGTGATTGAATTTAGTCTCCAAAGCTGGCTCACAAACTCCTTGAAAAACAGTTGAGTCATTTCTTTTTAAATATAATATTTACTGACTTTAGAAGGAGCAGCTCTATGAGATGTGGTCCCTTTTGAAACCCCTTCTATATTGCTGTATCTCTGTTTCTACCTGTTTTCTTCTCTCACTAAACATGAGGATATTTTGAGGACTGACTGCTTCTAGGACAGCTTCAGGGGTGCCGTGTTTGTGGCAGAACCATTGTGCTAGGAGGCAACTGAAGTACTGCTGTGTGTCTGCCCATTCCTACCTTTTAGAAAGCTTTTTTTAAAAAGTAGATAAAAGGACATGGTCAAAGTCCTCTGAATCTTCTTCAGTTCACTCCATCTTTCCTGTTGTGCAGGTTTCTTTCCTTAAAAAATATGAGTTGCAAAAGGATTTGGCTTGATTTTGCAGCGTTATTTTATCTTATTTTCACACTTCTTCCTTTGAGCTGTAAATAGAAAAGAGCTCAGTGCTGTAGATGCTGATCTTGGCCAGACTTGGAGAGGTCTGTGAAAGGGAGGTGGGAAAGTTGGGTGATCAGTTTACTCTGGGAAATCACTTGCTTTTTCTGTGACCAGAGAGTATTGAGTAAATGGCTTTGTAAACAGGGGCCCTCATCCTGTTTGTAGCCTCCAGGTGCATATTACTATGTTGTCTTGGCCTTCCTTCTGCTTTAGATGGAGACGATTGAGCTGTGTTAGGCTCTTTAATTTTCTTTGAAGTGTGAATGCCAGCATGTTCTGTTGGGTCCATGTGTGGCCAGGTAGAAAGGAGGAGTTGGACTTAAGGAACAGCAGCGCTGGGGAGCCACTTGCAATCCATGGCCAGTGACAGCATTCATACCAGCCTTTAACCTCCTTCAGAGCCCAGCAAAAACAGGTAGCCCATCGCTGTCCTTGGCTAGTCCTATTTCTCCTGCTTTGGGGAGAAACTGGAGCGCTGTGCTGGGGATACTGAGGCAGGCAGAAAGTCAGTGCTGAAGCCAGCCAAAACATGCCCAAACCCTCCTCGTTTCAATGGGAGTGTTTTATGTTGACCTCCCTGAATGCTTTTTTTGTGGATTCCCAGAAAGTTGCAGCAGAGCAGAAGCTGTCTGATACCAAAGACAGCATTTTATCCAGGATCACAACCTGGCAATATTTGGCATGTTCGTTTCCTGAAGTGTTCAACAAAATGGTCTTTCAAATGACATTTCACTACTAGTTTTTCATTACCCTCCTTTTTTTCCCTTTTTTTCAAATTTCCAGCAGAGTATTCAGCTTTGTGGACCACAATATCTTTGTTCTTTGAGCCTTATTTTTTTGAAACTATCTGTGGAGGCTTCAACAAGGGGGTCATATAAAAGATCGAGATTATATTTGTTTTGAAAGGAGACCGAAAAGAATACATTCTGCTTATCAATGGTCACTAAGATAGCACTGATCTTCATAGTGCCTTGCCTTGCAACACAGGAGCCCGTGATGATGATAAAAGGATATAGATTTTTAAAAGGATGAAAGGAAATGCTTTTCTAACTTGGCACATAACAAGCTCCTGGAATTCATTGCCGAGGGGTGTTGTTGCAGCACATACTTTAGTAAGATTCAAATCTCTGAAGAGCTACCAGTCCTCCAGGTCCACAACATGAACTCCGTGCCTAGCTGGGGTCACAGAAACGTATTTCCCCCGTGGAATAATGTTGCACAGTGCCCCAGTTGCCAATGGAGGGCTCCGCTCTCAAGTATGACCTGCTGGGAGAAATAGCTAGACTAGTCCATGACTGGTTTTGAGGTGAGAAACATCCAATGTCTGGAGACTTGAATGGAGGAAAACCTCAGGGAGCATTTTCCAGCCTAAAGGGAATTTTCTCTTCATCTGCAGGCAGTTACTTTTTCTTTCATCTGGGAAGAATGGAAAATTTCTCAATTCCTTTGCTGCTTCTAAGCACAGTCATCAGAAAGGATTCACAGGCTTGATCCTCAGCACGTTTAATTCAATGGACTTTTTCCATTAACTTTAATGGGTTTTGTTTCGCTCCTTTTGCCAAAATGGCTTCTCAAAGTGCTTTGAGATCTACAGATGAAAGCCTCGGATAAGCAAGGGTAGAATTTATTGTTATTGTTCATCTGGAAGAAGCTGATTTATTTCATCTCCTTACAATGACTTTAGAAACTCTGTTGCCAGCAAAAGCGGAGAAAAGATGCTAGACCGAGTACAGCCTGGTATGCGCTTACAGACATCGTCAGAAAAGTCTGTGCTGCCATTTAAATTGTTGATCCCAGCTAGAGCTGTCACCGGCGGGTTTGCCAGTTGTGCTCTCAACTGCTGAGCTGGTAGAGATTGATCTGCCACCAGCAGCACCCACATCCCTCACATTTATGAGGTGTTTCCTATTTCACGAGTCACCATCATCTTCCTCAAATATCCTTGAAAAGCTGCTGAGTGGAGCTCCCTGGGGCAGCTCCCAGTGTATGAGTGGAAACTCAAGTTCTTCTTCATGCAGTGTGTAGGAGGTGGGTAGAGATGAAGACAACCGTGCCATTGCACAGCCTACACCTTCATATCCTAAGCATAATCTTCATCACAAGGCATGCCGTGGATACAGCTGAGCTTTAGCAAGCCAGGCTAACACCCAGCAGTGCAGACAGAAAGCACAGTGGTTTCCAGGGGTCAGGAAGTGTATATCCTAGTTTGGAGCCTGCTGTTCAACTTGTAGTATGGACATAAGTGCACTTCATGTGTCAGTGCTAGGAGGAAGAGGTAAGAAGTTCTGTTTCTGGTTTTACAATTTACTTGGGCAGTGGAGGCGAGGGGAAAAACACTGGGGACAAAACCGTGAAGATTGGATTGAGTGTAATAGAGGGCTTCCCAGATTTTCACAACTGTTAATGTACTGCAAGGAAAAAATAATATTTCATGGGGTAAAAGGCATTCTATCAAACTGAGTCTGCCAGGGTGATCTCTTGCAGCTGTAGAATTGGTTGGAGAGTATTTCTGTTTTGCAAGCAAAAGTAATCAGTGGCATTACTTTGGCGTTACTCTGTTAAAATGTAGTCTTCAAGCCAACAAAATTCTCAAGCACCTTGAAGTCCAAGCAAGTACACTTTTATATATATATTTAAGCAAGTACACTTAAATATATGAGATGTGTATTTTACATATAAACATATATAAATATATATGAATATATAAAATATATACACACACACTATGAAAAACACTTTTTCCTTGCAGTTCATTAACAGTATTTAAAATTTAAGAAGCCATTTATTACAATCAATCTAATCTTAATCTTATTCCACAGTGCTTTATTTCCTCCACTCCACTGCCTAAGTAGTAAAACATGTATATGTATCTATATTTAATTGTACTTGATTTTTTTAAAAACTGGGATAATAAAATATTCATACACAAATGTTAGAAGCATATAATACATCTGGAGTCACTCAGTCCCTTACCAGTGCATTCATATAAAGAAGAATAACTTTGTGGCCTCAGCGAGCTCAGAAGTGGCCCCATAAATCAATAGAACCACTGAGATGTTTTTCACTCCTATTGAAATAAAACTGTTGGGGACAATTTATAGCTGCAAATACAGTTCCTGTGTATCACATCAGCTACAGTCCAGCTGGGAAATGGGGAACTCTAAAGACAAACAATCACAATCTTGTCGACACCCATATATCTGGGATATCTGCTTCCAAATGTTTTCTCTGTGCAACAGGTGCTGTTCTCCAAAATGAAATGTCTTGTTCCAGATCTCATTTTTGGAGAAGATATGTCCAAGATTTTTTGCTGACTTACTGTGAAAATAAATGAATCAGTCTGTAAGAGTGACTGATAACAAAAAGTCATCATCATTACCTTAAAAGTAAAAAAAAAAATCTGAAGGAATAGTCAGCAGACAGCAAGACTTATTTAGGCTTCTGAAGAAATTACTGGAAAGGAAATGACTTAGACTACTGAAAAGAAAACAGAAAATGAAATAATTTGTTGTAAGGCAGATTTCAGCACCAGCATGGCAAGGGCTAAACAAACCCAAACAGGCGACTCCATCTCCGACAGTGGAAACATTTTGTGCTTCTGCAGGAACCTGGGTTTGTGCCTCTGCTAGGAATATTTTAGATACTAAAACTTAGGAAGATGCTTTCAATTTGAGCACAACTATGACGTTAAAGCTGTTCTCTGTACCCAAATGAGTTCTTAATCCTAAACAAAACAGGCTCTAGCATATTGGTGAAGTGTTGCTACACTGCTTTAAATGCATTTGCATTTGGGGTTTCTGCTAAGACGATCCTGCCTGTCAGGGAACCGCACGTCTTCACACCCCTGACCAACATTGGCTGCATTGGCAGAAATCCACAGTGGCTAGGGTAAGAGGGAAGTAATTAGGATGGAAAGCAAAACTAGATAAAAAGCTCTCTGTAACTACATCAACATAACCACGCTGCAAAAGTAACTGTCTGTTTAAATTACAGGTATCTAGACCTCCGAAAATTTGGCTCAGTTCCTCACGGAGGCTTCGGAATGGGGTTTGAACGCTACCTGCAGTACATCCTGGGAGTTGACAATATCAAAGATGTTATTCCTTTCCCCAGGTTTCCACACTCCTGTCTCCTGTAGCTCAGCAGTTGACTCGTGTGGAGCAAACTGCTGGTGTGACTGTATGTCTGTAACATACTGGGATACGACGGAGTCTGTTTTAGTAGGAAATGGAGATCATTTTTGTATCAGTGAAACTCTTGGTGAATTTAATACTGGCTTATTGAAAATAATGTATGTTCTGGTCAGATTATGGAAGCACACTTGCAGTTAATTTGATAGCAGTTCATGTCTTCAGTGTTCCTCAGGAGTATTAATAAATCCCACTTAACTGAAGGGTTAAAATTCTCGTGAGACTAGTGCAAGCCATGGAGGTACCAAAAAAGCATTGTTGGGAGGTAGTGGGGGGTTTTATGTGAAATATTAATAAGGAGGTGTGACCTAAAATGGACTGGGAGCCAGGACTGCTGTGAGGCTTTAGTAGGCTTTAATTAAATGCCTGCACAGTGCCTTTGAAGATTCAGTGTTATAGAATTGTGAAGTAGTGTCATGGCTGTGATGCACTTGCTCTTACGAAATGGCTACTGTAAAGCATGATTCTCTCCACCCCCAGTTAAAAGCAAATATTGTTTACCTTGGAAAATTCAGCCAAACCTAGCAAGGAAAAATGTCATGCTGGAACGAATTAGGTGAATGATGTTTGATTTTTGTGACTCATCAATAAAGATGTACACTGGGTTGTTTTGTAAGTCTGTATGGTTTCTTCTTCTGTTATAAAACCGTAACGCTCAGCATCATAGTGTTTCCTTCAGTGTCTTTGGTAGATGTTTCCTTTTCTGCATACCCAAATTAGTTGCACAGCTTCTGCAGGAGAGATCTGTTTCCTGTCTCCAAGAGAGCACATGTTCATAGCAGAAAGCAATGTTCAGTTAGATGAGAGTCTATTCATCTCTCCAGAGCCAACTTGCAGTTTATTGGTGGTATTTTGTTGTCACTTTGCTTTTTTGTTGTTGTTATTGAGAAAATACTTCATGTGCTCATCGGACCAGGCACTTTTGTCTATGTTTTGAAACAACCAACATATGCTCCTAAGTATTGCGTATGTATTAAGTAATTGCTTATCACTATAGGATCTGAACTCCTTGCAGTCTTTAATGGGTTTATGCTTTCAGCTTCCCTGCCAGGTAGAGAAATATTAATTTATGTTTTGAAGACAGGATTAAGGGCAGATCAAGTGACTTGCCTAAGGCAATTGGAAACAAGTGGTTTATTTGGGACTTAAACTGAGAATTTCCTTCTTCCCTTCCAAATTAACACAATCCAGCAAATGGTCATTTGCATAGTGCTTACTACTCTGGAGCCCAAGACAGCTGCAGTATAAACAATATATATAAAAAGAAAGGTAACAGCCTTATTGCTTATGAACCCTGTGTAAATTGCCACACACATACAACGTGAAGTGGCTGCCGAACAGCCCTGAAGACTTCTTTTCCAAGTAGATGAAAGAGACTGAAAAATAGTAATCAAATAGCATTACGCTCGTAATATTGCAGTCACAGTTCTCACTGATAGGGCTGTATAAATACAGCACCTGCAGTATCTAAAAATACGTATTTATGTCATGTGGCACCTGCCATGTTTCAGTCTGGTCCATGGCTGGGCTTTTACGTCTTACGATCATGCAAACAACATCACCACTAGGTCATTACTTTGAGGTGTTTGTTTTATGCGCTGAGACATCCCCTGCATATGAAGGTTGTTTTAATATCTCCTTTGTCTGTGTGCTGGTTTTGATGGGCTAGAGTTAATTTTCCTCACAGTAGCTAGTATGGGGCTATGTTTTGGATTTGTGCTGAAAACAGTGTTGATACCTCAGGGATGTTTTTGTTGTTGCTGAGCAGTGCTCGCACAGAGTCAGGGCCTTATCTGCTCCTCACACCACCCCACCAGCGAGTAGGCTGGGGGTGCACAAGAAGTTGGGAGAGAACACAGCCGGGACAGCTGACCCCAACTGACCACAGGAATACTCCATACGATATGGTGCCATGCTCATCATATAAAGCTGAGGGAAGAAGAAAGAAGGGAAGGATGTTCAGCGTGATGGCATCTGTCTTCCCAAGTAACCATTATGCGTGATGGAGCCCTGCTTTCCTGGAGATGGCTGAAAACCTGCCTGTCAATGGGAAGTAGTGAATTAATTCCTTGCTTTGCTTTGCTTGTGCTTTTGCTTTCCCTATTAAACTGCCTTTATCTCAACCCACAAGTTTTCTCACTTTTACTCTTCTGATTCTCTCCTGCATCCTACCAGAGGAGTGAGCAAGCAGCTGAGTGGTGCTTAGTTGCCAGCTGGGGTTACACCAGTCTGCCTGATCAGGCAGGTGTTAACGGTGCATTTGCTGGTTTGCGTTTCCCAGTACAGTTTTGAGTTGGTAACTGGTTCAGTGAAACACTTCAAGTGCCTGCCTTCCCTTTGAAACCACTGGGGAGTTTCTACACCTGAGCATCTCCCTGCATTTGGACCATCTCTCCTTTGAATGCATTGTCTTAAATGTTGTTGCTGGCCTTTACGTTTTGGAATTGCTTCTCTCAGCAGAAAGATGTGAGTACAGCTGCCAAAGAGCCTCATCCATACCATGCTCCTAAATAACTTGCAATGAGCAGGTGTCCTTACTGAGCTCCTTAGTCACTGGTTCTGTCACAGTTGCTGTAAATGAGAGTGCTTGAACTGGAACTTCATCTGCTGAAAACAGAGTGGGTGGATGGCAAAACCATCTCCTGTCCACTCTGCTCTCATCCCTGCAGCAGCTCTGGGCTGGCTGTGGTTTTTTTGGCAACAGCAGGAAGTTCTTGATCAAGCTGTGAGATGCCAGATCTGATGGGCAAGGTGGGGCTAAACAGTGACAGGAGAAAAACAAGGTGTAGAAAAGAAGATAATGGAAGGTGCCAAGAAGTCATGAAATGATGTGGCAGAGTCCCGAGTTACAGGGCAGGGGAGCAGGGTTTTTTCAAACAGGTTTGGAGAGGGGTTGTCAGGGACTGATATGAGGTGACAGCTTCCAAAAACCAAGGACTGGTGTGATCCACCCTTCATTCTTTGCCTTGGTAAGAGGTTGTTGCAGGACAGAAGGAAAAGGTTGAACCTTTGATAGGTAGGTATATGAAGGAATGTCAAAGGTTTGGGGTTTTAGGGTTGGGGTCTTTTTGGTTTTGGAGTTGTTTTCTTTGTTGGTGGTTTTTTTCTGGTTGCAGTCATTGCAGAAAGGCAGATTTTTAAGGAAGATGTAGCAAGGATGCACCATGAGTGATTCTGGGTGTGTTTCCAACTACGTGTCCAAGAGGAGTGGTCTCCCCAGTCTTTTACATGTATTTCTATTTCATACAAAGGTATTCAATGAGTTGGAGAGTGGGTGGGCAGGGTTGAGCTAAGGGGGCGTTGCCTGTAGATGTTAAAGCTCATCCAAAAAACTACCCCTGATAATCTGGCAGAATAAGCAGGAGGGGAGCAGGGTTGTTCCCAACACAACTAATGAGATGAATATGCAGGCTCAGAAGGGAGGAGAAAGGGTTGTCCAGTCTTGGAAACAGCCTTCAGCATAGCTTGTTCTTCCTAGTGATGGGAGAGAGAAGGCAGAGGCTGAGGCCCATGTCTGTGATGATATTGCTTAGGGGTAATGCCAAAATTTGGGTTCTTGTGAGAAGCATGATTTATGGGTACCCAGCAAGGGTGGGAGCTGCTCTTCCCCTCCAGGCTGGCATTGTTGGCCCCGTGCTGTGTATATGTAACACCGGCTGGTGCTGCCAAGGAATGCGGCGTGTTTTCCCTGGGATTTCCATGTGGAATGTCATGTATTTCCTTCGAATCTCCTCTCCCCAAGTGAAACGGAAGTTGATCTGGAGGACAGGCGAGGTCGTTCCACTTGAGCAGGCAGGGAAACGCACCCAGAATTTTAGATTTAAGTAGTTTTTCTTGCTACATTTTTGAATTACAGAATCAGTATGGTTGGAAAAGATCTCAGCTCTGGCAATGGCTGAAGCCAAATAAAATACCTGACACTTCTTCACATAAAAAGCTGTTATTCTTTGCATGCAGGAATCGCCTTTAGCCTGAACATGCAGTGCAGTACCTCACATTGGGGTGTTTTCAGCCCAGTAAGCAGTCAGCTCTCAAGCCCAGGTGACCGGCTCGGTCTCTGCTAGCATCCTTTTGGTGAGTATTTCGTGAAGTTTCAGTTCCTCAGCAGCCGGTGCTGCCTTTTCTCAGGTTTTTCTTCACTTTGAGCTTCAGAGGAAAGAATCAGTGTCATTAATTACTACATCTGTGGCTTTGCAATATTAGGCCAGAGTGATGGGAGAGCAACACTGCTAGGAGTAACAGAGCAATGCCATAAATTTTGCGTAACCAAATGCCAGCCTCTCACAAGAGTGTTTAGAGGAAAACCTTTGTTTTCACTTCACAAATATCACAGATAATCCCTTTACTTAAGATTTCTATGTGCAAGATTAAAGTATCCTGAAGTACTCTTTTTTGAATTAAAAAAAAATAGCTGTGGAACTAACACCATGTCTCAATCTTTTCAATTTTAAATCCGTAGGAGATCAAATGCATGCTCTGAAGTTAATATTAGGGATTGCTGTTCTCCCTCTTATGATTTATGTTGTGATACCACGGCAGTGTCTAAATCTTGGGCTGTTGTATGAGCTTCTGTACAAGCATAGCTTAAAAGATACATCACAGGGCCAAATGTTTAAAAGGCAGCAGAGCAGCGCAGGGATTTTAGCTGAATTACCTGCGTTCAGGCCCCCAGAGCTGGGGGAAAGCAGCGAGGTGCCCAGCTCAGCAGTCCTCTCTCCGGTTTGTTTGGTAGTAGCTTTCATTTATAAAGCATCACTTGTTTGAGGGAATGCCAAGGCTTTGATGGGAAATGTAACGTACAGTTTTGCTTGCTGGACTAATATTGATTGTTTTGGAAATAGCTTATAGATGTGTTTTTCTTTAGGGGGGGAGAAGAGGACTAATTTGCCAAGAAACACTTTGGTCATTGTTTCCATTAAATGTGTGTATAGAGATAAATGTGGCTTTGCTGCCACTGAAACCAGTAACTGTCATTATTACTGTTATTTTAGCCTCTGCTTTATGCTTAGGGAGATCTGGGAGATGGGTCCAAAGGAGGAATAAGAAAGACTTTGTATAAAGGTTGTCAAAGTCCTTATTTCCTCAGATCTCACCAAATGGTGGTCTTGGGGGTGAATTTATTGTTCTGTCGTGCTGTTTGTCGCAGAGCCATGACCTTCAGAAGGATTGTAAAGTTTTATTTTATGATCCTGCTGGTAAAGAGACGTATGTAATTTACCATACGAGTTCTTACAGACTTGGCTAACAACAAGTTTGACCCGGAGTTCAAAGAAATTATGGCTCCCGTTGTTTTATTGCTGCTGTGAAATGTATTA